AAGGATGCTTTAGGCAGAATGTTAAATGATCCAGGAGGTATCAAAAGAAGATGGAAGGAATATACTGAGTCATTGTATCAAAAGGAATTGGCAGATACAGAAGAATTTAATGAAATAGCATTTGAGCCAGAGCCTATGGTGATGGAGGCAGAAGCTCAAGCTGCTTTGAAGGCTACCAGAGCTACCTTTCTCCTTATGTTTTGTGCAGGTTTTATATCAATAGTTTCTTGAATAGACCTTGTCATTTTCTAGCTCTATCTTACCTAGAACCAGAAAGTAACTTAGATTTTTTTTTTCATTTATATCTCTAGGAATTTGACAAGAGACGGAAGTTTTGATCCAAATACATTGAGTGTGAAACCAGAGATGTACTAGAGTTTAGATTCTTTCGTTGGATTAAGGTAAGATTGCTTAATAAAATGTAATTACACCATTACTATTCCTTTTCAAACTTTTACTTTAATGTGCTTTTTAATTAGCATAACTTGATTTTTCCGTCTAACCTGAGATTCCAGTCTCAGAAAATGTTTTCATGGTTTCTTTACTATTTAAATAGTTAATGTTCCATGTAACCACTTCCAGATGACTGGAATATCTATAAAATTTTTGTCATGCTTTTCAGAAATCTCTTGCCTGAAGAAAAATGCTTATATATTTGATATAGCTTATGGATTAGAGTTCCGAGGCATTACTAAGTAAAGAAATTTCTGCATTTTAGAAGCTAAACTCTCATTAAGAAAATATTTATACTACCGGCTAAGTACTTTTTAAAAAATTTATTTAAATAAAATTTTTATTTTATACTGGTTTATGTGCAAGATTTGTATACATTGTTTTTTGGATCTTTCCTATTTCTTTTTCCTACCCCTCCCTCCACTCATCAAATTGTGTAACCTATCATTAACCACCCATACACCCCCAATTCTCACCCCTCTGCTCTCCCCCTTGCATCCTCATACACTTTGTACAGTGGTCTTACATAGTATTTTTCCTTATGGAATGTAGTTAGTTCATGCTAAGTACTTTTAATAAAATAGAGAAGCTTTAGAAATCGACATCTTGTAAAGAACTACTTGATTAGAAAAGCAGCTACTTCATATTTTGTATAACCTGAGATACATTCTCTAGCACAGAGTTGGGTGAGGTATCTTTGTTTGCTTGTGTTCTTATAAATTTTAAAAGTTTGTTTATTTATTTTTGGTTTTTTAAATTTATTTAAAAAGAGAAGAAACAGGATATTTAAATATAAGAGAATGCTTGGCATCTTTTTGCAGTCTAAGCTACCAGTTAAGTTGATTTTAATAATGGCAATAATGAGGAAAAATATTACTCTACCAGTTATATTTATCTATTGGTTGTGTTTATTTGAAAAATTTTTATTTCTGAATATTTCTTACTGTATTGGCAGAAACGTTTGAAAAGGAATATATTGTATAAAACCCTCCAATTTTAAAATGGTCAGACTGTAACTGAAAGAAGAACTAGTTTGTGTGTGAAATACATATTATCATTATGTCATTCAGGTAATGTTGACTGCATTAATGTGATGGATTTAGATGGTGTAAGTGAGGGATCCCTTTGAAACAAATAGAATTTAAGAAAATAATAGTGTGTACCAGAAAAAATTATCTCCAAATTATTGCTTGTATATGTATGTGTCTCTTTTTAAATATTGTTTTAAAAACTTTTTATACAAGTTCATACAGTTTTTGTTTTCGTCTTTTTTAATTGATGTTTTATCAAAAGTTTAAAGAAAACTTTCTTTCCGTTCATTCATTGTGCATGTTTTCTCCCTATGCCCTCCACCCTCAGTTTGCTTTTCTCTACAAAAAGATTCTTTCATTGTTAAACAATTTCCTACCTCCTCCTGTCCCCAGTCCACTTTGCTGTGTACCTCTTATTCTGGACTGTTGTCATGCAAATAATACTTAATTGCTTATTTCTTTTAGACAGTTCTTTCCATCATCTGTTTCAATGCAATGTTCATTATTTATCCCCTCTTTTCTTGGTTTTCCCCAATCCCCATGTCAGTCCTGTTTGATAACAGTGGCATTATGCAGCATTTGACCTTTTGTGACTAAGATATTTCACTCAGCTTAATGTCCTCTAGGGTCACCCATTTTGTATAATATTTTATGAGTTCCTTGGGTTTCAGTGCTATGTAGTATTCCATTATGTGAATATACCCATAGCTTCTTTATCCATTCATTTGTTTATGGGTACTTGGGCTGCTTCCATCTCTTTGCTATTGTCAACAATGCAGCAGTAACCATGGGTGTGCATATATCTGTTTGGTGGCAGTTCTGGTTTCTTTAGGGTATATTCCCAGTAGTGGAATTGCTGGGTCAAATGGTATTTCTAGTTCCAACTTTTTGAGAAAACACCATACTGCTTTCCAGAGTGGTTGCACCAAGCTTCATACATTTTTATAGTTAAATCTGTGTGTTGTTGTTATATGCATCCGAGTCTCCTGTGACTCTTAGCCACCCTACAACAGCCCTAAACCCTGCTCTATCCTGTGTTAATCTTATTGTATCTGACGCACCTACCCCCATTACCCGTCACTGAATCAATCCGTCTTATAGAGGGTCTTGCTCTACTGCACCATCGCTCCACCCTCCCAAGCGTGACATCCCTCTCCAAGGACTGGTCCCTCCTTGCAAAATGTCCAAAATATGTCAGAAGAAGCTTCAGAATCCTTGCCTCCAAGGAGCAGCCTGATTTAACCCTCTCCAGGACAAACCTCTTTGTTCTCTTAGCAGTCCATGGTAGGTATATTCAATAGTCTTCTCCAACACCACAGCTCAAAGGCATCAATTCTCCTTCTGTCATTCTTAGTCGTTGTCCAGCTCTCTGGTGCATAGCAAGTGATTGCAAAGATCTTGGCCTGTATCAGGCACACCTTAGTCTCCAGACTTACATCATTGCTCTTCAGCACTCTGGAGAGGTCTCTGGCAGCAGACTTTCCTAACGCAATATGTCTTTTAATTTCCTGGTTGCTGGTGAATTAGAGTGCTTATGTATTTGATTTACAAAGAATGGATAAAATTAAGATGCAAAGAAACTTACAGGAATTTTCACAGCTTTAATGTGTTAATGAGACTTAGCATTCTCAGTTTTGCTATGTTTTAGGCTCAGTTGGGCTTGGACTGTACCAGTTTTTCATAGACCAAGACTAAGAATTAATTCCTTTTTAAATTATGAATACTATAAGAAAGCACTGTTAAAGATTTTGCTACTATCAAAATCATACCTTAAGACATCTTTCTTTTTTTTAAACTCCCCTAATTTTGTTTTTTTAAAGTTATGTTTCAGTTGTTATTATATGCCATTGAATTGCCTGTGACTCACAGCCACCCTATATGCAAGAGCTTTGAACCCTGCCCTATCCTGAGCCAGTCTCACTGACTCTGACACAGCTAACCCCATTAACCTAGTTTCTGTGTCAATCCATTTCATCCGGGGTCTTCACTCCTTTGCTGACCCTCCACCCTTCCAAGTATGATGCCCCTCTCCAATGACTGGTTTCTCCTGGCCATATGCCGAAAGTGTAAGAGATGAAGCTTCAAAATCCTTGCCTCCAAGGAGCAACCTGGCTTCACCCTCTCTAGGACAGAGCTGTTTGTTCTCTTGGCAGTACATAGTATGTCCCGTATTCTTCTCCAGCACCAAAACTCAAAGGCATTGAGTTTTTTTCTGTCATCCTTAGTCATTGTCTAGCACTCCAATGCGTAGCAAGTAATTGCAAAAGCTGTGGCCTGGATCAAGCATTGTTGTTCTCAGTACTCTAGAGAGATCCTTGACAGCAAATTTTCCCAGTGTAATTCTTCCTTTGCTTTCCTAACTGCTGGTGCCAAGAGGGTTGATTGTGGAACCAAGCAAGCTGAAGCTGTTAACAATCCCAGTCTCTTCACAATCTATTCTGGTGCTGCCACTTGGCCCAGTGTTGAGAATTTTTGTCTTCTTGCGCTTCAATCCACATTGAAGACTACAGTCTTTGACTTTCTACAACAGTCACTTCATGTCCTCCTCAATCTCAGCAAGCAAAGTTGTGTCATCTGCACCAGTGTTTCAGTTACAGTTTTAAAAATAAAAGATGTATATACTTTATGAATTTCACTCCTTGATAATTTTTCCCCATGTGATTGCAGATTAGTTACACTTTTCTTGATAAATATTTTGTTTTAAAAATCTAACTCTAAGCCATTTCTGATTTGTCAGTATCATTGAAATTAGAGATATATTTGTTAAATAATGTTATCAATTGTGCTTAACCATACATGTTCATATCCTTGAAGATG